ACAATGTGACAAAGGCCAGACAGCTTCAGTGAGCATTTTTCCCCACACAAATATATTTCCCTGAAATTTATTTCACTGTATGTTACGTTGCGCTGTTCGTTTTTTATCTCAGACATACCTATAGACTGAGAAGGAAAGGAATGATGGTTAGACATTGTGGGGTCTGCACTACAAAGACACACAGAGAAATTTAACTTTTTTCAAATAAATATTTATAGCAGTTGTAAGTTTGTCATAATCTCATTTCTACAATATGAAATGAACTGGTGATTAGTTCAGCTGGAACTGTTAAACTTCTATTTACAATAGCAAAGTTAGTCAAATGGAGATACCTATGAAGTATTTTCTATTTCTAGTGTGAAATATCACGCAACCTATAATATGACTACTAAGTTTGCACATACGAAGAGTTTAATTGAAAAGCAAGTTTTCCATTTCTCACATGATATGATTATTTGTTCTCAGTCCACCAAAATACAGGTTGCAGTAACATTTCAATCTTAGGATAACTTGATTTAGTAATTTATTAAGAATGTTAAATCTGCAGATCACAAGATACTCTTTTTTTTTTTTTCTTCTTCTTTCTAACACCAACCCATAAATTTCTGTTTTAATCTTCTAAAAATCCTACGAAGGCTATCAGCAAGTGAGCAGATACAGCAGTTTTGAATGTTTCCTAATGGCTGAAGGGAATCAAAACTTTCTCCACACAGTAATAACTACCGGAACCAAAGCCTACAGTTTTTGTCACAAAACCCCAAATCCTATGCTGCTGTCCCCGACACCGTCTCTCAATGGCGTCCCTTCATCTGGAATTCACATTCCAGAGTGTGAAGCCTGAAGAGTTCACATCATTCTTCTCCAGGACCCACTGATGCTACTGACTGGATGCCTAGTGACAACAGCTAGGTTTAGCGTCACAGAGTGAAAGGGAAAAGCTGGATCACTGAATCTGCTACTCTGCTGTCTCAGGAACCACTTCAGAAACCTACTCTGCAGGTCCTTAAAAGATGTTGGACTTGGACACCAGGTTGTTTTGTTTCAGAACTCACTTTAAGAGTAAGCCAAACATCTTCAAAATTCTGAGTCTCATTTTATGTAGGACCATTTTCTTCTTGTGACAGCACTGCTCTTCATCTTAAGTAGCTTACAGTATAATAAGCAATTTACGTTTTGTTTTTAGTCATTATGTCTATAGATTTTTTTAAACAGTTTTGTAGATTTAAAACTCTGTAAATCTGAAATTAAATAAATCTAGTTAAATACAATGCACACTTACCTGTAAGCATTAATGTAATCTTTTCTGTGTTGCAGAAGAAAATCTTTCAGCTTTCCAATATGAGAAATCTAAATGAACAGAAATCATTATTAAACTTCAGTCAGATAACTGATTACTTCTGTGTTTGAAGTTCAGTATTCCACACTTCAAACATGAATTTGTAAAATGATTTATTCTGTAATTAAACAGAATCATAACATTTACTCTTTTATAGTAGAATTTTCACATTTTCACATTTTGTAAGCAGTCAACACAGAAAAATAATCTAAAAAAAGATCTGTTGTATGAAAGTACAACTCAGAAAAGTAGTAAAATACATGTCTTCTAACCAAAAAGCAGAAACTAAACACAAAACACTACTAAATACAGCTAAAATATTTAACATTAAAAATATTAAACATGACCATAATAACACAAAACATTAAGTTCTGGATTGCCAGTTTAAGTAATGTACATTTTGGAAAATAAATTCATTTTAGAAAAATCACACACAAGAAAGTTTTAAACATTTTACTGATATGACAGGATATAAATATTCAAGTTTGGTTATTAGGACTTGTAGAGCAAGGTGCTGTTCCTGTCCTTTCTATTTTTGCCTAGGAGTGACCAGTGTGTGCCCAAACTAAAGTAGTACCTCTATCATCTGGTAACCATTACTAACTTTTGCCAGAGCATACCTCCCTACCAAATTTCTATTTTTCAACTTCCATTTCACTAGGGATACATTTTGCTATAAATCCATTTGATTTTCTTTATTAAAAGTCTTCAAAAAGATCCTTTGAAAAGATGAAAAAACTCCTAGAACCTGAAAGAACTTTTGCAAACTTTAGTCTGACTTAAAAGATTTGGTGTAGCATAAGATGCTGTTTTTCTTAGAGAATGGAGGAACTACAGAAATCAAATTTAGCTGGCCACAGAATTGAGATGACTACAAATATGACTTCCTTGGCAGGTCTTGACGGAGACCTAACGGGGGGGAGAATTATATATATATATATATATATAAGTGGTGTATATTTTCAAGGGGGAAGCAGAAGGAACCTTTCTAAAGCATATTCTCAAATATTCATTAATAATTCAGTGTAAAAAAGCATGCAAGGAATTTTACAAGACAATAGTTGTTTTAGTTTACAGATACAATAAAAGTGGTTTACTCCATGTATCTGGGAAAAAGCATCAGAAGCTGTTCAAGTCTTAAAATCCTATTTTCATGCAAATGTTCCTTGTAATTAAACAAACAAAAAAACCACAGAGAAAGAACACAGAATAGTTTGGATAAATAGAAGATTAATTCCCCCAATTATTTTTTTCAAAAGATCAGCAGCTCTTTAAAAAAAAAAAAAAAAAAAAAAAAAAAAAAAAAAAAAAAAAAAAAAAAGGAAAAAATGTACTTAGTAAGACCGCAGTGATTTGTACAACTAAAAAGAAAGTGTTTCCATGTGCAAATCAATACACATACATTTCCCTATTATTATTTACTCCATTTCATTTTTGCTACAGCTTATCATATTGGATAAGCATTTTCCCAGTTTTCATATTTAAAAGTTTTCCGTGTGACTAACAGGATGGGAAATTTCATCCCAGTCGTAGCAAACTGAGTTCTGTTAGTACCTCCAGCAGATCTGAAGTTTCCTAAAGCGTGTTAGCACCATCATAAGCAGTAAGAAGGGAAATACTGAAATCACTACAAGGTCAGTGAGGCACAAAGAATAAGCTAAACCATTCTACGGATGTTCCTTCTCATCGCCACTGGATTTTTTGTAGACTAATCTCCTCAGCTCAGACTTGGTATGTCATGAAATTTGCTGAACAGGTAAGTTAAGCTTGGCTACAAAAGCAAAACATTTAACGCAGTCATATGGTGTTTCTGTAGAATAATAATACTTAATAGGCAGAAAGTACTACAGAGGACAAAGTAGAAATATAAAATAAGAAACACATTTCAAAGCATTTACATTGCTATGTGAACAAACACTAAACTAGAAAAGAGATTAGCAAAACTTTATAAGTAATAAATCTTAATATTACTGCAATAGCTACAATTTAGGAGTGATTAACAAGCAGAAAGAATCAGAATGACAAGCAAGAACACTGTCTTACAGTAATTAATTCATCTAGTCACAAAGAGCATTCTATTTAGGCTAAAATTGTCATCGAGTGTTTGAATTGCACTGACCCCACTTTGCCTCTCCTTCATTTGTAAAGCCATTTTCATGAATTTAGAATGACACCATTATGCCCATACTTGCATCGAGCTCTCAGTTCCCAAGATTTGCATCAGAAGTGAGACTTCCTTGTTCTACTTTCCCTCAAATTCTAACAGCATCTTCTGCGGTCCTGCACTGCTGCTATTTCTCTTTTGCCTTTTCTTACCGTGTACTACTGGCATAGTTTTAAATTCAATCCTGTCATCACCATATCAACAAAATTAAACAATTTTTACAAAAAAGAAGGTCTTACTAGCATAACAGGGAATGTGAACGTTATCCAGAAAAACAGATTATTTTTTTTTTGTACGATGCTTTATCTGCTTCAGACACAAAATACCCCTGATTATATAAACGTAAATCTTGACGGTATCTCCAGTGTCATCATCCTGCAATTATTCTGGGGTTATCAGAGGCACACCATACGCTCTTTAGAAGTTATCAAGCTCCAGCCTAAAGGTAATAAAGCATCTCCCTACTCCAACCGAATGGCTTTATTAGAATCCTATTGCTCTTATCATGAATAAGAGCAGTGAAATTTCCAGGTTTACTGATTACCAACTTCTACCCGTCTGTTCTTGCTTCAGAACAGTCCTTTCCCTTAAAAGCTCTGCTTCCCTGCATGCATGTTTGAGTTTACCGTCAATAATTCTATCTCCCTCTAACTTCTGTAGCCCCAGACAAACAACCCCAAGCTTTTAGTTTCTTCTCACAAGATACTTCTGAAGTTGCCTAGCCGTAACTTCCCTTTGCATTTGCTCCAGCTTGTATCCATCCTTTTCCAAGGCAGAGGACTAGAAGGGCATTCACTGGCATTAGTTACTCTGTAACTCAGATGGAAGTATCTTTTCCTCCACCACTTTCATTGATTAGTTTTGAGCTTATTCTTTGTTTTGGTCTCTAAATACATATTCTACTGCTGAATTTCTTCCTTCCCCCACAACTCCAGACTCCAGAGCGCTTGCTGTAACACATTGCGTTCCTCCCCCTCCTTCCTCTCAGCATTCCCTCATCAGTAAATTTTACTGATCCATCTTACTCTGGGACTGATTTTAAAACTCATCTTGTTTAGAGGGCTTGTTTTGAGGAATGCAAAAATTCCAGTATTAACCCCTCTTCAGCCCAACATTTCTCTTTCAACACAACAGCATCTCGTCTGCTTATTCATCTTACTCAGTTAACATTGTCTCTGCTAATCCCCTCTAGACTTCTGATTAGCACTTTATCAGACACTTTATCATCACACACCAGGTCATACTAGCAAAGGAAAAGCAGATTTTCTTAAGGCATCAAGTTGGCTAGGCACATCCTGTTTTTCGTAAGACAGCAAATTATACTGCATTGTATCTTGCTTTCTATTTATCTTTTTCCCCTTAAAATCTTTTCTGAATTCTGGACCACTTCTGGGTCAGGCCCTGCTGATGCCATTATCAGTTTCCCTCTGCTGACTTAATTACAGGCATTAAGTTTGTTTCCCTCTGATCAAATGGTACCATTTTCCATTCGATGTATTTTCATTAAGAATAGCTGCCTTCAGAACCTGGGATTTCTCGAATCCACCATGTCTGAACTCAACCCAGAGATTACCTCATGACCACAATTTGACTGCATTAAAGTTCTGAGATTTTGTCCAAATTTCCAGTTCCGTGCTCTGGTTCCTAGTACATATCTTGCTTTTACCCTGCTGGTCCGTGGCTCTTTTCTTATTGATCTAGTCTGGAGACCATGCCTAAACTATTCTTAATCTATACTCCTGCTGCATGACAAACACACTTTTTTGCTAATTCTCTTTTTATTTACATAGATAAAGAATATTTTAACCTTGGGTGGGGGCTTAATACCATTAGTTAACTCATTGTGAATTTTGCCAAACCTGACTTTATTTCTACAAAGTCTTCCCTTCTGCAGCAGTTTTCCCAGCCAGCCAGCCTCTCTCTCCCCCTCCCCCCCCCCCACTTATTAAAAGAATTAGCCCAGAGGCAG